TAGAAAATCAAGCATTTCTAATTTCATATAGTATTTTTTACTAAAAAGAAAAGAAGAAGAAAATGAACAAACAAATAAACAAGCAAACTAAAGCTCACATGCATCATACTGCCTGTACATTAGTATTACAAACGAATGCGCAAAGTGAGTTGAAAACACACACACACACACACATATTTTAATGCAAGAAAAACGAAAGTTAGCAACAAACACAGAGTTTTTTTTGAATTATATATACATATAACTTGAAAATTCATCAGAAATTGTTGTTGCTATTCATACGATAAGAGTTTTGTTGTGAATAAATACCATATAAATGATTAAATTCATTTGAAATAGCAGGTGAACGTATGCTATTATCATCATCAGAATCATCATCACGTATTATATTTGGATTTGTAACACGCATACAAGTAGCACAATGGCATTTTTTTAATACTGGACAAAATATTGCTCCACTTTCATCATACATTGTATGAGCTATTTTACAAAGAAGAAGAATAAGATAAATGATTTGAATTTTAAAAAAAGTCTTACATGTATAAAGACATTCAGGCATATTATGACTTTTACAATGTCTACAAATTGTTTTTGGATATGATGATTGTTGTTGTTGTTGAGGCATATTTTGTTGACTTTTTAATTGAATTACACCATTGTATTGTTCATTCATTACTGGTGAAAAATAACTTTGTGGACTTTCATCAGGTGATGATATAAGACTACTTGTATGTGTTGATAACCATGAAAAATGAGATAATGTTGGTGAATTAAATTCATGTGTTTTTCGACGAGATTCAGTCGGACCATTACTTTAATGATGAAAAAATATCATAATAAAGAGTTTTCTTTTGAAAATAATGTACTTACTGAAAATAAGTAAATGGTTCAACCATTGTTTCAGCATCAAATTCATAATTAAGTGGATCAAATGCTGTTTCATGAGAATGATTATTAGAATTTCCCATTAGTAATGATGAAGCCGCTTTCATAAGATTGTTATTATTAGTAGGTGAATAGCGATACATAATATGAATAAATAATCGAAGAGTCAATAGAACGATAGGAAACGGATAGATAGAAAATATATCTGTCGTGTAAAAGCGTTAAAAATTATAAATGAATGATAAAATGAATGAAAATCGCGGGAAATAAAGAGATGCTACGAATCTCTATTTCTCTCTCTTTCGATTTCTTTTGTAGCTAGATGGAATTTATTCAGCAAAAAAATCGAGAGATGATACAGAAAATAAAAAGAAAAATCGAGAGAAAGCAACAGAATATGGGATAGGACCTAGATGGGATGAAAAAATGACGTCATTGACTGAAGTTACGTGTCACGTGATAGTAAACTTTGTTAAATAATAGAATGGAAAACGTATTTTACTATATAGAATCATCTTCGCATAATCGACGAAAATTATATATATTCATAAGAGAACGAAAATTGCTCGTCGATAAGATAATATTCCAATATCATATGTCATTGAAATGAAAAAGATATTATTTTGATCATAGATTTTCATCTAAACTTAATATTCGCTTGTTAATCGGTATGTTATAAATCTTTCTAGATCAAGTTCAGGTACAGTGTATTGAAACTTATGTAAAAAAAACCAGATTGATTTCATTTAGAATTTATGATTCGAGCTACGTTAACTCTTTATACATTACATATCGGTGGTTTAAATATAATTTGCTTCTATGTGATTCAAGAAGATGATCTATTAGGATTATTAAAGTATAGTTTAAACATTATGTTACTTGCTAAAATAGTATAAGTAGCGATTCATTAATTATAATACTAACATAACAGACTTGATGTGATCAGAATCACAGAGAATATTTCTAATATTGAAAAATATTAGTCTAGAATACCTATATGATATATAATTTTTGAATTGTATTAAATGATCAGCGATCGTAACGAGAAAAATGTCCGCTTAAATACAGTACTTATCCGAAAGAAAAATACACCCATATCGAGATGAGCAAAATGTGTAGACCGTTGGATGACACTAGTCTAGAAGGAAAGTAGCCGATTCTTTGCCGACTATGACGTCATGAATAAGAACGAGGGTATTTTATTTTGATTCAGTATATAAAATTTATACGAAAGAAACGAAAAAGATAGGAGTTATAGTTTGGATTAAAGTTTAAAAAGCATCTTTTTATAGTGTATTGATTTAATTACAAAAAATTCTAATTAAAGTTTATGAGTCGAATAAGATATTACTATTTAACACATTGAAAAATATGTATATACTCAATTAGAAATCTTCATTATTGTTTAAATAATGAAAGCATCGTGTAACAAACAGTGCATATTCATGTCTGTTACTACATAGACAAACGAGGGCTTTTTTTTTAAATAGATTATGCACTTATTCGTACTTTCTATACTTCAGTACATTTCGCTATTATCAAACGAATTTATTTAAATAGTAAATCAAAACTTTGAATAATATATCGACAGCGACTAGAATAAATGAAATTTATTAAGAGTTTAATTAGTTATAAAAAAATTGAAATATCACAATAGTTAAATTAAATTATTATACCATTTATGTCATATAAATACTTCTTGAACTCTCTTTGCTTTTTAATAATACATAAGGAATATACTTTAAAGTAATAGTTAAGAAATTTTTATTATCATTATTGTTTTCTTTATAGGATAAGTGTATCACTGCTTTGTATTGAAAAGTAAATATGTATGAAAAAAAACATGATATTACTTACAGGTCGATTCAAAAGTCTTGGTACTTCATGGAAAAATTGCATTTCTCTCTTATGACAAATAGTGAAAAGCTTCACAACCTATAATGGAATGATTTTTTTTACAGATAGATTCTAAATATTCAAAACGAATGACAATGATGACAACAATAAATACAGAATTAATTTTTCATAACATCAATATGTTTTGAATCTTTTGAGTCCCGGAGTATCAAAAAAGCAACTTCTATTTTATAATTATTTTTCATTGCAAAATTTAAAAAAGTCGTGATAGAATATCTTGAAAAAGAGAGATAAAGAGTATTCTAGAGCTTTTTTAGAACATTTGGGTGACAGAAATCATCTATAACTGCTTTTTTCAGGCGATGAGATTATTTTTTCATAGTTCAATAAAACATCCTGATAAATATCATTTTTTTTAACTTTTTTTCTTCTTCTTCTTCTTCTCAGCGCCAGACATATGATTTATATATATATATGTGTATTTTTTTCATGTATGTGCGGTCTAATGTCGCTGTAAGTGTACACATTATTGTTTTTAAAAGACACCAAATTAAATGATCAGTATTTTTTGTGAACGGTCAGTTCGATTTATTGATCAGTATAAAATTTAGTGTTAAACAATTATTGTATCTACTTGTTAAATTAATAACGCAAAGGTGTATTTAATTAGATACCACTGCAAGAAAGGTTAAGTCCAGTGTTCCTGAAAAACCTAATCCTAGAATCGAATTTTCAAAGCCTTTTACAACTGTCAGGAGTAACAGAATTGTTAAATCAGGAGGTAGACGTGAAAATTCTTAGATCTATGTAGATTAATTGTTATTTTTGTGAAACATGATCTGATAGAGAGCGTTGAAGTATTTGAAGATAAAAGCTTAGATCCCCTAAACCTCTTCTCTAATAGTTTAATGGTCCGGTTGATTTCTACAGTTGCAGAAAACTTCAAAAACTCGATTCTAAGATTAGGATTTTCGGGAACACCGAACTTAATCCTCTTTGCAGCGGTATCTAATCAGATACACCTTTACATTATTAATTTAATAAGCAGATACAATAATTGTTTAACGCTAAATTTAATACTGATCATTTAAATACAACCTGTTTTAAAAGTGAAGAAAAGTTCTCAAGAATATAACTTCTAATAACCCGTATAGGAGATATGTAATCATTCGTTGAGAGTTCTCGAATCACCGTGGAAAAATTTCAGAAATGCATCGTAGTGAAACTTACAAAAAAATTACTCTCGAACCATGATTTTTCCTGTTGCCATCGCGGTTTAGATCAGTTTTTGATCAATTCATATTTATAGAACAATTAGTGTGCAATCGAAATGAAGCACTAGATTCATCGCTAGTTTACTCATATAATATAAATCGTCTAAAAAATGGATGAAAATGGATTTTGACCAAGAAAGTATAACACGCGAGAACACGCAGCTTATAAACGATATATGTCTTTGAATCTAAAACAAGTTACATTAACAATTTAGTTGAATTTAATTTACGAAAACATAATTTGAGATTGAAAGGGTTAAAAAACATATTAGAAATTGAAACAAAAGATAAATAGTACAGTCGTTCTGTACAGATATCGTTTACTTTATTATACGTCGTGAGAAAAGAAATCTTCTCTTGCTTCGAAGTTGCATATCTTCCTTATAACTAGAGCTATACTTGTGAAGAATTTTAATTTTTGGATTACTCTGTTGTTTTTTCGTTTGAGTTTAAATAAATTAATATCTCAATTTGTAAATATATGAATACAGTTTACACAAGAGTGAGTTTTTCTATCTTTTTAATCGATATTTTCACTGTAGATGAATATAGAATACAATATATCACAATAAAAAATATTCAATATTTTAGACATTTAAAAAATGTCAAAGCTTGAAATTAGAATAAGTGAATATTTACACGATAATTAACCCCTTGGGAACGGGAAGCACATATATGTTCTTTGATTTTGAATTAACAAATATCTAACAGTTTAATGGTAGAAGTGATAGTGTAGACTATATTTATCGCTTTCAACACATCGTAGTGTAACTATTTTTATTGTGTCCTCATTGACCTTCTTTCGTTCTATAGCTGAACATGATATTTCGATTACGTCACTATCAACAAGAAAAACTCCTCGAAAATAATGTGTAGTCTGTGCAAATCCAACAAGCAGAGCAAGAAAGATAGTTGTTTTCACATACGAATGTATTGAATATAACGTCAGGCTTTGTATTCTTGGTCGTTTTCGAGATTAATATATTTTAAAATACTTCTAGATGTTTATTCACGTATTCTCAAATAAATACATCATACAGTATTCTAGAAAATTCAGTTTCTTTTGCTACAGTCACCCTGTCTCCAAAGGGTTAAAATACATGTCGTTTTATCAGTTCTATAATTTTAAATGAATATCTATCAATCAGTCTCATTGATTGAAAAGACATATGGTATCGAAAATATTCATACTATTATCGATGCTTATCTCTCATTTTATTGGAAGAATTTCAACTTGTATAAGAGTTATATTCTGAGCTGGCTAGATATCTTTATTATTTTTTAATAGTATAAATTATATAGGCATGATTAAATTTGACTCGATTGTTCTTCTTAAATGATTTGTTATTGATGACGGTGTCCTTGTACGGTTTTTTATTGAATAAGATAATACTGATCTGAAACAATTTGCTACAATATCAGCAAACAAAAAAGAAGCGCTAATACTAATTCTATTGAAGAAAGCTTATTAGATCTATCATATAATGTTGGTACCCTTGAAACATTCTACTCCATTTTTTCTATTGTTATATATCAATGTGACACCCATTTATTGTTTATATATATTTGTTTTGTACGATAGGAATGAGTGATTATGTTATTCTAATATTTATTAGAAAATTTCAAGGATTAAACAAAATTTGATAACGTTATTATAGTGATGATCAAAATAAGTATTCTATTGGTGAATTTAATATGACGTAGAAATGATAAATGTCATAGTTATACATTCGTAGAAATTCGAATTAATTCATTATTTCTACTTCAGTAATTCTTTGGCTTTGATCCAACTATTTGTCTACTGAAAAAGAGAAGAAAAGAAAAGAAAACAATACTTGATAGACATTAATACACCTTCATCATATTACTATAATAATAGGCAATCACATGACACATCTTACGACAATACTATCTTCTTTTTTTCATCTTCTTTCATTTGTTGTTCTTCACTGGAAATGATCCAATATATTTACAGAAGAAGAAGAAGAATATTGAAAACTTTATTTAAAAACAAACAAGACGTGTTTGGATTTTTCTCTCTCTCTCTCTCTCTTATATTCTGTTTACACATAGACATGGGTATATTATCTGATCAGTAGTTATATTATTGTCATTTAACTTTTATTCTATATCTATTACAGATATAACACTCTTGTTTTGTATTTTATCGTTTGCGAATTTTTTTTTCACAAAATGGCTCACATATATCGTGGTCCTTCAGTAAGTAAAAAATAATTAAGATTAAAAAAAATATTTATATATCATTTGAAATTTTAGTATTATAAAGATGATGGACGAATAGATTATTATAATCAAATTTCACCAGAATATCAATTTGGTTAGTCAAATTTTCATTTGAATAATTTAAGAAAATTTTTATTTTAGAAAAACCAGCAATTGATCGATTATTAGATTATATATCGAATCAAGAAGCTCGTAAACCTGCTATTGATATATTAATTCAAGAATATTTAGAAAGAATTGGTAGTCCATTAACATATCAATCAACACATATTTCACCATTAATGACTATAGGTATATTACAAGTATATTTTATTTTTTCGTTTCTATTTGTTTTATATTTAGCTACTGATAGTAATAATGATAATAAAAATACGTGTAGTCAACAAACTCAAACACCAACTGGAGGAATGCCATATTATCAAACAGCTCTATCATTTTATCCAACTCCATTAACTTCTGGTAATGATATAGTATATGATTCGAATTATGATTATCGAAATACAGCTTCAACACCATTACTTCCGTATGTATAAATTTGTTAAATAATAACTATTAAGTATATAAATATAGACCATTATCAAGTCGATCTTATCGTTCATCATCAATAGTAACTGATGGAGTAGGAAGTACACCAACAACTCGAATATCTATTTCATCAAATCAAGAAATTCCTATTATTGATCGATTTGTATGTTTAATGCTTTCGTTTTCTTCTAATTAAGTATTAAAATGATCTATGAAATTTGTAGGCAAATCCTACGAATAGTCAAGATAATCGTTTAAAACAAGCAGCTGCTCAAGAACGTCGTCAAGCAACACGTAATTTGACTCTAGTTTAATATTTATAAAGAAAGATTATATGATTTTCTGCTTTAGGACATTTTGGAAAAGTTCAACCAGGTTTAATTTGGACATCACCATTACCAGTTCGACCACGTATTTTTTCTATTCGACCACCATCATTATCTTGTAAAATATTTCTTGGTGGTATTCCACATGATCTTAATCCAAGTAAGATAATTGATATAAAAATTGAATATTTCTTGACAAAAAATATAATTTTTTTAAATAGGAGATTTACAAGAACGTTTAGAAAGTTTTGGTTCAGTTCGACTTGAATGGCCTAATAAAGATAATGTATCAATACATAGAAATTCATCAAATCATAGTAACAATATTCTTTTCTCTTATATATTTTGCAATTCTTATAATTCATTAGTATCAGCTGGATTTGTTTATGCTGTATATGAAAATGAAGAATCTGTTCATAAAATATTACATACATGTTCAACAAAAACTGATCGAACATTAGATGATGGACGATGTGAATATTATCTTGATGTGTACACTCAACGTACAAGTGCACGACGAAAAAGCGTATGAATAAAAACATTTTTATTAACTATAAATGAATTTTTTTCTCATATGTGTTTAGATTCAAATTATTCCTTGGTTTGTGGTAAATATTTTTAAATTAGAAAATGAAATAAAAATAATAAGTTCTTTTCTATTATTTAGGAAGATTCACAATGGATAGCTGAATCTGATTATACATCAAATGGTTATGGTAATTGGGAACAACGACTTAATTCAACAGAATGTATTAATCGAACAGTATTTGTTGGTGCTTTACATGGAATGATGACTGCATATGCATTAGCTCGTATATGTCATGAGTTATTCGGTGATGTAGAATATGCAGCTATTGATACTGATAGAAATAAATATCCAATTGGTAAGTTGATACTATTTGTCTTGATTAAAATAGGTAGTAAATAATTTTGAAATTGTTGAGTTCAGCTTAGTTGCTACAAGATCGAGAACGTTTATACAAAATCTATTACATCTTATATTAATTTTTAGGTTCTGGACGTGTTGTTTTTGTCAATGCACATAGTTACTACGCAGCTGTTACAGCTAATTATTTAATGATCGAATGTGATAAATTCTGTAAAGTGGTATGTTATATTCCTATAAGGTTTTTTTTGTTCTTATTTTTCTCACTTTTGAATTAGATTCAAATCGATCCATATTTATCAGATAGTGTACCATGTGCTGGTGCTAATGGACAATGGTGTCCAAATATGGGACAATATTTCTGTCGTTCACTTAAATGTATGAAATATTATTGTGCAACATGTTGGGATTTAAATCCACATCATATGACAACACAAAGTAATGAATGTGAACCACCAGCAATGATTCATAAGCCATTGATGCGTAATGCTCGAACAGCATGAGAAAACAACATTTCGTTTTGATTTTTTCTTTATTAGTGATATTCGCGAATTTGAAGATTTTAGTTTTCTTTTAACGTCTTTCTTTCCGAAACTTAACAAAAAAACACAAGTGATTCTTCTGTACAAAGATTTAAGTTTTCTTTTTTCTTGTTTTTGTTTCTGTTGCTATGCTACAAACATTGATTGCTTATTACGTTTTGGTATTTTGTTCGTGTATGTGTGTGTGTGGTTTATTTGTGCTTAACTTAAAAAACACCACACATATTTTTCCAAGATTTGTTTTGTCAGTTTGTGTTATTTTTTCTGTTTATTCGAAATTTCGAACCATTTTACATTTAACTTTTCTGTGAAATATAGAAAAATAAAAGATTCCGTAAAAAGTAAATTTTATTATAATTAGATGAATAACAAGTAAAAAGCATTTATAATATTTAAGAGTGTATTAATGTATTCATCTGCTGAACTCTTTCTAACAGCAGGGTTACCAAACCGATGTTGTTGTAGGAAGTACCCAACAGGGGTTTGTTTAATGCAAGTTCGACAAAATTTCTAATATTATCTGGAAATATTTCATTCTTCACAGTATTTTATTGTCGCGAAAAAAAGTTGTAGTTCGCAAGTATAAGACAATATACATTTCTAAAACGCACAGGTTGACATTCGTTTGATTTGTATTGAATAAACAGTTGAGAATACATGTATTGTTCAGAGTGCAAAATAATAATGTAAAAAGCACTCACCATCTCAATAGTGCACCTTTCAATGACTGCATCATTGAGCAATACTATACACACTCAGATAATTACTCTCTATACACGTATACAATTTTTTTTCTTATTTATCCTTCATGCATCAATGATTTCTATTTTTGCTTTAGTTTTATGACCATCAGTTATATGTCAAGGATTGATATATAAACAAAAATTAGATCAAATATTTGTTATGATCAGTGAACCAGGGTTAGATTAAATATAACTGATTCCTGGAATAGTAAAGAAAAAGTTTATTTTATAATCAATTCTTTTTATTTGAATAAAAAATAAGATTGACGTGTATTTCATGTAAAACAAAAACGTCAGAATTATTAATACATCTTAATGAATATGATTGGCATGTAAGTCATGACGAGAATAAATGAACAATATCGTGATTATTTAATATTGAATAAAATCGGGCTTTGACAGATATCTGATGAATAATATATCTATAGACAAGTTTTTGAAGTTATTTCCACTTGGAGTTTATCGTTTAATAATGCAATTTTTCAAGAACTGGATAAAGTGGTGCTCAGTTAATTGTCACCTTTATAGAAATTTCTATATTTATCATTTAAAGAAGTAAACTTTTATGTAACAAATATTTTATTATATATATTTTAAGAAATAAAAACCAAAAATAATTAAATAATTTATTCGATTCACCTATTTACTTTTTATAAAGAGATTTCTTTTATTTTCATCGCAAATACCACAAAAATTGGCGTATTCGAAATATATATATCACAATAACCCAAAGCCAATTTTCTATGTGTTTATTTCTTCATCTTCACTGTCGGTAACAAGAAAATTGCTACCTGCTTCTTCATTATTACTTAAAAGATGATACTCTACAGGTACTTGATTTGACTGTACATAAACCAATTGTCGAGAATGACGATATGCACATATTGTAAATATAAGCGCTATTATAGTAACCGAGATAATACAAACAATAACTAAATTATTCAAACAACAAAAAAAATTTAAAATCAAATATTTCAAAAAAATTTACTCACCTAAATACTTGGAAAATTTATCTTGTTGATAACCAATTAATATATGTTTAACATTATCAAATGAACCATTTGTTTGCCGTTGATTTAAATGCAATATATAAGACATTAATGGATAAAGATCAACACTACGAAATGGTTCAGCTAAAAGATTATTTTTAAATACTGGTCCAAAACCATAAAAAATTGGATGCATAGATTCAACTCGATTATCATATCCATGATTACCCAGTGACTCAGTTTCTGCAATACCGGGTGTAATTATTTCATATCCAACTTTACCAACAATTAATATATCTTTAATATAATAAAAAATAAGAAGTATAGTTCTAATGCTAATATTATAACTTACCACCAATTCGTACATTAGATCTATAATGATATTCATCAGGTATTTGAGATTTTTTATATACTTCATAGTTTGGAATGACTGATAAATTCTGATAGATTCGATCGATATCAGATACTAAAATTATGAAAGTTGGAAATTTATTATCAATCATAAAAAACTTACTGTTATTAACAAATATATTAGCAAATGAATTACCGCCATATGCTGAAAATAATGATGTATCAATATAGCGTTCAAGTCGAATTCGACGTGTTTTATCTACATCATGCATTCCATGATCAGATGTTACAATCACATTAAGATGAGTTTTTAAATATTCATCACTATCAACTATTTGTAAAAGTTGTCCAACATAATTATCAATTTCATGTAATGTTTTGTTCATTTCAGATGATATTGGACCAAAACGATGACCTAAATAAGAAATAGAATATATTAAATTTTCATATTTGATAATAATTTTACCAGTAAAATCAGGTTCTGAATGATAAACAACACCGAAATTGATATTTGTATCCGTTGGTTCATGAAACCAATTAAAAATTTGTTTTAATACAGAATCAAATGGCCGCTTAGCAGCGTAATTTTCATATTTATATGGACGATGTCCATTAATAGGTGTACCACAACCTGGCCAAGCAATGACACCTGATCGTCGTTGATTCGAATCATTTGCTAATTGATTACTTATCCAAATTGGTTGAGAATATGGATTTTGTGACCTAGAATTAACAAATATATATGAACCATTTTTTAGGGTCAGTGAACGATAAGCACAGGAACTTTAAGCACATGAGTGTTTAAGTCCATAATATCGACGAAAACAAAGAGAGTCAAGGCAAATATGAATCGACATGGATACAGGAATCTATCGATGTCATTTTTTCCGGACCAGCGCCCTCACTCACACTCGGATGCTTGTGTGCTTAAGTATCCTTGTGCTCATCGTTCCGATTCCCTACTTTCTAATCGAAGAGAAATACATACCACCATTTGGTATCGGTCATTGTTGAAACAATAGCTGTATCGTTTAATACTGGATCATAAATTGTATTAGCAACTATACCATGAGTTTCTTCGAATAGACCTGTTACCATTGTATAATGTGAAGGAAATGTAACTGTTGCAAAACTATTTTCAATATGTTTTACACGAACACCACGTTTGAGTATAGATTTAAAATTGGGTAGATCATATATATCTGGATAATCCCAACGAAATCCATCAAATGAGATTACTAATAAGAGTGGCAATGATGATGATGTTGTATTGAGTATTGGAATAGATTGAATGGATACAATTAATAAACTTGAGCAAATAAATAAAAACATATTTTTATATAATTGATCTATTCAATCATCTAAAATAAATTCTTTCGTTTTGTTTGTTTTTTTTCAATTATTAAATAATTTCATTTCAAGAATTTATCTATATAATAATATATATAGTTTTATTCGTGTATAGTTTACATTAATGATTGTCGTAATGACCAGATTCGTGAGATTAATGTCAGATAATATAAGAGAATTTGTTTCACATATACAAGACGAGAAAAAAAAATACACCAAAAAATACAAATCTCTTTTGAAGAATACAAAAAAGAAAGATGATAATCACAGAGAAGACAAAAAGATGAGAAAAAAAAAGTATTTGTATAATTAAAGATTATCATCTCCGATAGATGGATGCAGTTTGAGATCATTAATTTGAGTAAATTTATATTGATTTTGTTCAGCAATTGTTGCTGCATCAGGATGTGCTGCTCGAGCCATAGCTGATGCATTACGAAATGAAACAGCTGACCAAGCAACAGCCATAATGAGTATTAAAACAAAACTAACTAATACTATAAACGAAGCAAGAAGAAGAATAATCTTAAATATATATTTCGAATTATTATTTTTGATTTTTACCTAGTAAATAAATAACTAAACCCATGGGTCCATCATGTAATTTTTCTGTTTCTTTTCCATTGAGACTAGATAATTTACTTGGATCATTTAAAAATGGTTGAATATGACTTAGAGTACCATTTGATAATGAACATTTTTCAATATTAAGTATTAAACACATTAATGGAAAAATATCAACATTATTTAAATTTATAGATTTTGATAATGTAAAATTTTCTTTTAATTCAGGTCCACTTGCATAAAAAATTGTTTTCATTGAATCAATTTGATTATCATAACCAGAATTTCCATGTATAGTATTTAAATCAACCCTGGTGCCACCATCTTCGCATCTATTCGAAGATGAAGAACAAAAAAGAAATTTTTAATTAAACGATTAAACATACGAAATGATTGTCGATGAAGTTCATAACCAGGTTCAACAATTATAATTAAATCACCAATACGTGAATTTGTTTTATAATGATATCGAACAGGTAGATTCTCTTTTTTATATGTATTCGAATGCGGTATTTGTGTTAAATTTTGAAGAATACTATTAATATCATTAGCTAAAAATATACAATATAGATTTTTCGTAAGTGAATGAGAGTATCAACGAGAAATAGTTCCTATATATAGTAATCAAATCGAATTATTTCTATGATTATTTAATTAAGCGGAAATGATAATAATGAAAATACGATCTAGTTGTTGTTGTTTTTTGTTCTAGCAAAAAAACAAGTATATCATTCAAAAAGAAACTTACGTTGATTAACAAATATATTTAAAACAGTTTCTGTTCCAAATGCTTTTAATTTATTTATATTAACAAAATCTTCAAGATACATTGGTCTATCTGTTGCATTAATTTGTTCCATTCCATGATCTGATGTAATAATTAAATGTAATTTAGTTTTTAATCTAATATCTTTATCAATTTCATTTAATAGATAGCCCAAGTATTCATCACATTGCTTTATAGTTGCTTTCATATTACTTGAATAAGGTCCAGTTCGACGACCTATAAAAAAATAAATTATATTTATAAAATAAATTTGAAGTTTACCAGTTAAATCAGGTTCGGGAAAATACATTGCTCCAAAATTTATTGGTCTATCTTGATCATTAAACCAACTAAGCATGAGATCAATTGTGTCTTTAAATGAACGGTCTTTTTTATATGGTTCATATTTTGATGTAGAAATAAAACCTTGCGGCCAATTAATTACACCTGACCGAGCACCATTCATTTGTTCATTTAGTGTCCAAATTGTTTTGAACGGCCACCATTGATTTGCCGTTGTTTCTCCTGCTTGAAAAGTTTGATTCGTTTTTGGATCATACATGTGATCGGAAATTAATCCATGAATTTCTTCATAAAGACCTGTAATTAACCTAATAAAAATTCCAAAAAAATAAATAATATGAATCAAAATAATAAATAAACATACGTATAATGATTAGGATATGTTGCTGTTGTAAAGGTCGGTATCATGCTGTGTGCATGTACACCACGTTGTTCTAATCGAGAAAAATTGCCTAGAGGCCCATATAATTTCGGATAATCCCAACGAAAACCATTGAATGAAACAAGAAGTAATAAAGGTAAAGATTGCGAAAATATAAAAGATGAGTTGTATAAAAGCACAAGAATTGAAAACCACCACATGTTATGATTAATATGAATGTAATTTTCTTAAACGAAAAAAAAAATGATAGGTTACTATTTGTTTTGCATTAGCTATTGCTTAAGAACTAATTAAATAACAAGATAGATGTCAGGAGTTATTTTATTGATAAATATATTGATAAATACGATAATTTTAATACAAAAACAATGTTTTTATGTTAAAGAATTATTATTGATATTTATTAATTTTTACCTATAATATCAATCAATCATTAATATCACGGAGTAACATTCAAGTTCAAGAAGATGATAATGATAAAATAAGCAAATTCGATATTTATTGCATTATTAAAGAATCGTACAAATTATATGATTGATTTCAATGAATAAACAATTGATTTTTATCAGAGATATGCTTTGGATAAAAGATTTATTTAGGTATGTATTGAATTTACATAAACAGATTTTTTGAATGAGTAAGGTCTAATTAATTTGATTGCATGTTATTAGGAAAGAATCGGTGTAAAACTAGAATAACAGATGTAATTTCGAAAGAGAAAAATATAATTGTCATTTTTTCTTTCTTTTCTGTATTTTGTCGTTGAGAAATTTGAGTCATTCTTGCGCAATTCTATATGAATAGAATATATATATAAAGAGACTTTCTGTTTATGTTGAATTTAACTTAATCTTCTATAGATTAGTAAATAAAATTAATTAGTGATATTCTCATTATGGCTATACGTACACAATTTGAAAGTAGTAATGATATTGGTGTGTTTACTCGATTAACAAATGCTTATTGTTTGGTCGGTATTGGTGGATCAGAAAATTTTTATTCAACATTCGAAAGTGAACTTAGTGATCATATACCAGTTATACATTCATCTATCGGTATGAGAATTTTCTTTTGAAGTTTTATGAAAAAATAAATTTTATCCTACAGGTGATTGTCGTATTGTTGGTCGTTTAACTGCTGGTAATCGTCATGGTCTTTTAGTACCATCATCAACGACCGATAAAGAATTACAACATATTCGTAATTCATTACCAGATAATGTTCGTATAAGACGATGTGAAGAACGTTTATCAGCATTAGGAAATGTTATTGCTTGTAATGATTATGTTGCACTTATACATCCAGATTTAGATAAAGAAACTGAACAAATTTTAATGGATACACTTAATGTTGAATGTTTTCGACAAACAATAGCTGATCGTGTTCTTGTTGGTAGTTATTCAATATTTTCTAATCGAGGTGGACTTGTTCATCCAAAAACATCTATACAAGAACAAGAAGAATTATCTTCATTATTGCAAGTACCAATTGTTGCTGGAACAATTAATCGTGGTAGCGATGTTATTGGTGCTGGACTTTTAGTTAACGATTGGATGGGTTTCTGTGGATTAGATACAACAGCACATGAAATAAGTGTTATTGAAAGTGTATTTAAATTGGGACAGCATAATTCAACAGGATCAACAACAACATCAACGACAAATAATAAAACAATTAAAGATTCACTTGTCGATGCTCTTGCTTAGTATATCTATGTTTTTTTTTCTTATTTTGTAATGAATTTAAAATGATAAGACAAAATAAATGTTGTCTATTCATTTCAGATAATATATTTGTTGACTTCTTTGCCAAGAGAAACTATAAAATATTTTTCTGGTATCACTGGATAAGAAATAGAATATTTTGTTTTATTATTTTTTGTAGAATTTTAAACCCTTGATAAATTCAGGGTAAGTTATTGAAAAATTTAATTTTTACATAGAAGAAATTCTTATACATTCCTATAGAAAAAAAATGAAATTGTATTGCATTTCATACGAATTAATATGGGTAAGTTAGATATGATTTTTCTTTTATTGAATTGAATCTCTATAATAGTACTTTTTCGAGTACTTAACTTAAATACGAAGATAAATACTTGTACTTTTTCTTTTATAACTCATGATATGCACTTTAGATTACGCATTATTATTCACGTGACATACTAAAAAGAAAAAATATTCTCGTAAATTCTAATTGACCCGATTTCAATCTGTACCCATTTCATACAGAGAGAGAGAGAAAAAAAACAAAATCGAATACCCGTAACCAAATACAGGTAAAACCTACTATGAAATTACTTAACATGGTAACTATTTCATTGATATATGTAAATGTAAACAAATGGGTGTGTTAATGACATTTGCTGTGTTTCTCATATGTATGTATCATCATATTCATATAGATATATCACGCGATTCTTTTTTTCTCTTTCGAAACTACTTAAATATTTTGTTTTCTTCCCTCGAAACAAGCCCCTTTTTTCCCTTACTTATGTTAGGTTGAGTCAAAAAATTTGAAAAATGATTGCATTTATTTTTTCTTGTGATTCTTGCACGAGTTTGACTAGATAATAGCGTCGTTTTATTTTATTCTTTTTCGTTTCTACTCTATTCTATTTCTATAAAAAGCCGATCGATAGACAGACTCAACTAATATTGACTTAAAATAAAAAACGAAGTACAAAGCATTTGATCGTTTTATTACGTTATTAAAAAAAAAGACTATATATAGTTAGTACGATGTCATCAACAACTTCGAGACGTTTACATAAACGACGACGAAATAGTCTTGAACTTTTTCAATACGCTAAACGTTTACAAGAAAGATATATTCTTCATCCATTTTGGATTGATACATCAATGGGTAAAATCAATGAAATATCTCATGTTCCTGATGTAGATATTGCTGAAGCAGGTTGCTGTAAATATATATTAATTGAAGTTCGCAATTATGATACAACTTATGGACAATCAAAACTTGTTGTTCGTGGTGATGCATCTTGTGCTTATCATGGTAAGATTATAAGAAAATTTATTTATAATTATAAATATATTAATTTAGCTGATTTATTGGATAAGCTGAAAAGTCAAATTAATCAGAAAGAATTAACAATAGAATGTATAGGTGGTGGTCGAATACGAGTTGATCCAGCAACAAGAACTATTTCAGTATATGGTCAATCACAAGTAAGTTAAGAATTACGAATTATTGAATATTCTATATATATCTCGAATAGGAATTTGGTGAAGCTGATCATCAGCAAACAGTCGAAATTCTTAAGAAAAAATATCCTCAATGGACGATAGAAGTGACAGGTAGATTTTCTTTGCAAAAATATTATTATTTCATTACATAAATTTTTATTTAGATGACGAATATTAGAAATGATCAGTTTTATTCTAGTGAGTGTTATCGTATGAATATTTGTATGCTTGTATCATATATCCATGAAGAAAAAAAAGATTACTAAATATATCTCTTGCTGTTATTACTAAATAGAGATAAATAAATATTTTCTTTTTTTTTACACGTTTTAAATATTGTATATTTATTTATTTGTCCTTGGTTGTTCTATTTCTGATTGCCATAAAAATGCATATTGTTTCACATGTATATGATGTGTATTGATGCGATGTTCAAGGATATCTAGACTGACGACGATTATAATATCTTGACCTCTATTGAATATATGTGTATAATGAAAGGTATAATCATTGATGACACCAACGAACAAGAAAAAAAAGGTTGTTATATAAATGAGATAAGATTTATTAGTATATAAAACGAAATGTCAATCATTGATTTAGTTAAATATATATATATATTGTAAAAGAAAAAAGCAGATGCAAGTAAGATGACGAAGAGATTGTATAACTCTTGTTCAAGAAAAACTTATTCTGCAATTGATGCTGAGAGAAGAACACATCCGAAATATAAATCAGCGAAACAAAAATAAATTGTCTATGATTACGACATCACTTCCATTAAAGACATATTTGTGTAATTGTTCTTGTCCTTGTTAGACGACACTCAGAGTTTTTTCATTGATTATCCATCTCGTCTTTCACCATCTGTCGATTCCATTTGTCTCGTCTAATATTCTTAGCCATACCAAGGCAACTCTCGCACTTCTTCTTCTTCTCGTCGTCGTCGTTTTTTTCCCATGTTAAGATGAGCATGTACAAAACGACCTTGTATATATGCGGCCGTAGGAATAACGACGGCAGTGGGGGAGTGACGACAACTGCAAGGTTATCTGTTCTTTCAAAATCATATTGTTAATTCAATTGATTCATGAACTTTCTGTATAATTTGTAATAATCTTTTTCTTAGCTATTGTTAGGATATTCTTTTTTTTTGATCGAAAGAAAATCGCGTAATAATACAAACTATTCTATGTATTTATATATTTGAGCATCATTTCCGATCCACTTGTCTTTCTTGTAATTTGATCAAGACGTTGTCAGTTAAATGATGATGCAAGTTATGCTTTGTCTTATTTGATTTCAAATACTTTTCACAAACTATGGGTGTATCTTTTGATGATTAGCATCAATAAGGAAATAGGAAACGAACGAGCGAGCGAGCGAACGAATGAATAAACGAATGAGCGACATGTTCCAGATCGTTCTATCTTATGTAATAGTTTTCTTTTTCTTTTGTCATTGAAAAGCAGAAATTCGGTCTGTATTTATTTTCTTGTTGTATTCTATTATTATAATAATTATTGATCAATAGGAGTCGATAGATTTTCAGGAGAGAAAAAAAAAAAGAAACAAGACAAAGGCCTTTTCTAATTGCTAGTAGTTAGCTTTTCGCAATACTAGCGGAAAAGAAGGAGAAGACGGAGGAGAAGAAGAAGCAGAAAAAAAGGATAGAATAGAATACTAGTCGTCGTTCCTCTTCATTTTTTGTATGTTAATGTTTCTAGGATGGCAACAATTCAATGTTTATCAGTCTTGAATGATGATGATATTATAAAATTTAATATTGGTGGTGAAATTTATTCAACAAAACGTTCGACAATTAATCAAAATGTTGATTCACAATCATATTTATCTTTAATTATAAAAAATCAAACAGATATTCAATTGGATACTCATGGTCGATATTTTATTGATCGTGATGGAAAATATTTTCGTTATATATTAAATTATTTTCGTGAAAGCAATCTTTTATTACCAGAAAATTTTACTGAATTAAATCAACTACTTTCAGAAGTTAAATTTTATGAAATCGATCGACTTCGAAATGAAATTGAAAATCGTTTAAATCGAACAAATGAAAAAAAACAACAGATTTCAACGAATTTTTCAGTAACTTTATTTTCAAAATTAAATCAAAATAAAATTCTATTAAAATTAATTGCTCCATTAAATCTACTCTCTATTTTTCATATACAATTAATTGGAGAAAAATTTTTAAATATTATTTCATCATTTAATCATCCACAAAATATTTTATGTCAATTTACATTTCCATTTGAAGAGAAACTTATCTCATGTCAACCATTGGATCAATTACAACGTTTTGTATTGACTAAACAAGCGAAAAAGATGGGTTTAATTGTTAGTTATTGTGATGATTATTTTTATATACCCATTAAATATGACATAGTCTCTCGGGATGAATTAGTACAATTATTCTCTAAAAGATACAATGGACAGTTATTAAATACAACTATCACACATGATGATTCATATATTCTTGTTGAAAATTGGCTTCTATCAACAGAATTTGAAGAAACCTATTCAAATACAAGCATAAAAAATGTACATTAATTTTTCTTTTTCTTGTTTGTTTATATTGCTATGCATTGCAGTTCTTTTTTTCTTTTTTTTGGTTTAAAAACTTTATATGACATTTTTGAGTAAGCAAGTAAAATTTTCAAAAATTTGTGTTTAATTGTTTCTTTTTTGTACATAATTGATGACATAAATTAGATTTATATGAAACTGGACCTAGATGTGAGAATGATGGTTTTATTTCATGAAATCGTTCTGTTGACGAAAGAAAACCAAACAACGGATTTTTTTCGCGATTGATATGAGAAGATTTTTTCTGAGAAATTTGATCTTTAAAATAAGTCGTTGGTCCAGGAGAAGTTTTTAATTGAATTTCATTAGTATTCAAATTCGAAGGAATTGGTAGAAATTTGCCTTTATATCGATTAGATTTTGAGAAAAGATATTCAAGTATTGATTTATCTTGAAAATGAGTAGGCCCTTTGTACCAATCGGGAAATTCGATATGACGATCTTTTGCTAGTTTTACATAAGGTCCATAGATTCCTAGAAAAAAAAATGTTTTATTAATACATAATCCGAAAGGATCAACTTTCCAGTAGATTGTAAAACGAGAATTTTGACCTTGTAAAATGTCGTTACGAAAGAACTCTTATCTTGTAAAAACATTCAGTATTATACTATATCTCTCTCATGAGATTGTTCAAGTGATTTAAGCTTATAGATAAAATCTATTATATACTTTCCTGTTTGTTTACGTTGAAGTTCATCTGCAAAATTTGTTTTTTCATATAAAGTCACTGGTGGAGCACGAGGTATGAATTGTTTTCGTTTACGACATAGATCATTACTTTGCCGATCAAGCCTTATAGAATTATAACGTCTTTCAAAATCATGTTTTCTTTGTAATTCATCAGGAATATTACTTAAACTATAGATCATACTCTAAATTCTAGAATAATTAAAAATTCTCATTAAAAACAAAATTTCAATACTTGAGAATTACATAAATGTTTTGATTTATGATTTTTTGTTGTAAAACGTTTTGATTGTTGATAATAAGGGCCATATTTACTACATGATTTTTGTTTGTAGATTTCATCTATTGTCATTGGATTATAAGTACCCGGTCCTAAGATTTTAACATATCGTTTTGGTGCAAGAGTAAAATTAGTTGCATGTAAACGTTTAAATAAAATCGTATCTAATTGACGATCATAAATACTTTTCGACATTATTATATAATCAGATCATTAATACCCGCCATTTTCCATATGTTTTAGATAAATATGAAATATATTTTCATTCTTTTTTTATTATTTTCAATTGATCAATGTTCATCTACTACTACTACGAATGAATTTATTATTCTTATAATAAGTGAACCTCATATCTATATTCTAAGTCAAGCTCATAATGCATCAACATTTATTCCAGCTCATATCCCACTTCTTTATACACATTCATATGCATCATCAATACCAAATTGGTATTCAATATATCCAATATTTTCATCAATTATTGATCAATATTCTCAATTAAAATGGTTATTTATATGTGAACCTCAAACACGTTTTAATCTAACTAAATTAATTGAATTTAGTCAAAAAACAAAAGATTTATATATCGGTCATGGTTTATATGATACTGAACCGAGTATAATTCATCATTATTCATTTTCATTCGATAATCCCTATCCAGATTTTTCATCGGGTACTTTAATATCACGCAATGTTTTGTCGTTATTTATTGATCGTTTTCAATCCTATACAAAACCAATTGATTTTATTATTGATATCAAATATGAATTAAATCAATTAATAAATGAATTAACTAATACAAAACTAACTGATAAATCGAAACTTTTTTGTAATGAATATAAAAAGAATTGTTTAACATGGTACGAGGGACAATATGATTATTTATGTGAAAGAAAAGATATTCAATTAGATGATTTATATTTTGGAATAAAAACTTATGTCAAATATCATAAAACTCGTATTGATCTATTGAAAAAAACTTGGTTAAATAATAAACTTCATTATAATTTATTTACAAATGAAATCAATGAAACAGCTGATAATAAAAATGAACGATTTATAATAACAAAAGAAAATACGGATCGTGGTCATTGTCATAAAACATTTACAATACTAAATTATTTTCATAAAAATAAAGAAAATTTTCAATTTTTAATTATTGCTGATGATGATACACTTTTATCTGTAAAAAGACTTCTTGAACTTATTCGATGTTTCATGCTTTCAAATGATATACCCATGGTACTTGGTGAACGATATGGTTATGGAAATTATTATGATTATCCAACTGGTGGTTCAGGTATGATATTTAATCGACAAGCTGTACAACAAATTTTATCGAACTGTGAATGTCCAACACCTGATACACCGGATGATATGTTTTTAGGTTTATGTTTAAAACGTTTGAATATACAATTAACACATATAAGAGAATTACATCAAGCTCAACCAAATGCTTATTCAAAAGAGTGGCTTCAACATCAAAAACCTATTAGTTTTCATAAATTTGAAGATATAAATGTTGAAGAAATTTATCAAACTTATTTATATGAAAAATTCTCACAATCTCATCATGAAAAGGATGAATTTTAATAGAAATATATAATATTAACTAGTATATCTTGTATTGTGTTTTTTTTGTTTAAAGAAGAAATACGAAAAAAATTCCATAAAGCATTAGAAAATTGTCAAAATAGAAATATAGCCAGGGATGAGCGCAAAGAAAGGCAACTGGTAGCATATTAAAAAAAAAGAAGAAGAAGAAGAAGAAGCAGCATTAGCAGCAGTATTTTAAAAGCAATACACACATAAAACATTATGCTTATAGAAAAAGAAAACGATGTATTGTTTATAAAATTTGTTTTTGTTTTATGTTAATTAAATGCAATCTTTGCATAAAATTAAATTTCCATCTTGATAAAAACTTTCTTCAGCAATACATTTCTATAGAAAAAATTAAACTTTATAAAATAAATGACGCGTTTTTTTGTTACCTGGCATTTTGAACATGTAAAACATTCTTTATGCCAATATTTATCTTCAAATTCAAGATATTCAACATCAGCAACAATTGCTTTTTGACAACGACTACATCGTTTAGCATGTTTATCTTCATAACATTTAACACAACATGGTTGACCATCAACCATTGAGATTTTTGATTGAGCCGATATTGGTTGTTTACATGTTACACCTAGAATAATAATAAACGATTAATCATGAAAATAGAAATAATATAATTCTATCAGGCAGAAATAATATTTTCTAGTTTCTAATTACGATCAATTAACTTCTCATGTAACTGATACATACACAAGAAACAAGCCGCATGATATGATGCACCAGCAAATGTTATACCAGCTGAAGTTATCACCGAACCACATTTACCACAACGTTTACGAGGAAAACGTGCTTCATGACATGCTGAACATAGATATTCATTGTTAAATGGATAAAATTGTGATGTTATTGGTTTACGACAATCAGCACAAGCAAAACAATCGGGCTAAAAAATTAAATAATTTCCAGAAAATGTTTTGTTTTCTGTTTAAATTATCTACATGATATTGTTTGCCATCGAATTCAGTAATACCTAGCAAAAATAACCAAAAATAGAATATATAATAAATGAAACAAGAAAAATATAACTTACGAGATCCAGCTGGAAATGAATTATGACAACTTGTACATGTACTAAATAGATAAGATAAATAATTATTATTCTTAAATTAAATTTTTTTTTTCTTCTTTTGTATTCATAGAAATATATATCTTTAATATATTGTACTCGTTAACTCTCGAGAAATATCCTTTTAATAGATTATAATTTTCTATTGACGGAGACACATGGGGGAGTATAGAGTAATGCTATTTATATTAGCCTTTTGTATCCCTGAATATATGTTGTCTGTCGTCATCGTTACCAAACAAGTAATCAACAAATATTATCCAGTTTGTTGCAAGTTTCAATAGAGACTCTATCCTACGCTTTCCTATAAAAACGCTTAGTATAATTAGTTGATTTTGCACGCAAAATTCAATTATATGAAAATCTAATTATTCATTTTTTCTTATGTATTCTATTTATTTTACTTACCTCATTGTTTTTGTGTTTGTATGAATATATATCAATAATCAAAAACAATATATAAAATTTGAAAAGAAAAAAACCTAAAGTCGAACTAAAGATTTGATATATATCGAATTGATATATACAATTCGAGTTATTCCGAAGAAATATGCAATACTAAACAATAGAGATATAATAAAAAAAACCGGTATAAGAAGAATAAGAATTTTGTCTTAGTGTTGTATTCAGTACTATTTCTTCTACTAAACTGAAAGCACAATAAGATAAATATAAGAAGCAAAAAAAAACCCAAGAAGGACAAAACGAACGGTTGATATATAACAAAACAATTTTAGCTAGATATCATCGATATCCTTCTTAGCTTATTCTTTTGGTGTAGAAAGAGACTCCACTCAATAAGTAGTGTAGTTAACCATCCTTCTCATCCTTGTATATTCTAGCTATAGCAATCTCATACGTATTTGTACAGTGAGATATTTTTTCTCTCTGTCTCTCTCTCTCTCTCCGTGTCTCTGTCTTGTTTTCAGATTCTTGCCGAGAGTATAAATGCGCACGAGATGTATAAAGCATCTTTTTCTGTTTGTTTTTTTATGTTGTATTCTCGTATTTTCTTTCTTCTCTAAGTTAATGGACAGAAAGAGCGACAAAACTACTAGTATCTTCTCCTCCTTCTCATTGTGTTATTGCGCGCGCGCGCGCAGCGCAATCGACCACATTGCTAAGCCAGCCCCAATGTTGTAAATAGAAGAACCTGCAATTTTTTTTTGGGGTAGTTCTAATCAAAACATACAGTATATTCTATTTCTTTTTCGTTTGATTCTATCTTTATTTTATTTATATCATTCTAATGATATATTCCTATTATCGACAATACTAATTTGTTCTATTTCAATTATTTAAGACATTGATTTTGTCTAGTAAAATCAGCATAGAATATGAAACTTACTTTATATGACACCTGTATGAAAAGATATGTCCTTGATTTTTATGTGTAGGCCATATTTTATCTGTACTTGAACAAATCACAAAAAAAACACTTATTAATCGATTTAGTTATTTATATTAAAAAAAGAAAGAAGAGCGCACTGTGCTGGAAAAAGGTTATTTGTTCTCTATTAATATGCAATAAAAAAAGATCAGATCGCTACAGGATATAGAACTATTGGTATTTTCAATAGAATACATTACATATTCAGTAGATTAAATAATCACAAATATAATCTATGCTTTATTTTATTTGGAATTTGTTCAATAAATCTTTGTCGTACAGATAACTTTCCTTATTGGTATCAATTTATATTTAGTTGTCTATTATTAGAATGGTTGATAAGTATATATCGAGTCTTATAATATAAATGACAAGTGTAAATGTGTAGTAGAGAGATTTAATACGTATCTTTCTATCTATCTATCTATAATCGGAAGTTGAATCGTCTGTTTATCGTTTAGCATCTTAAGTGCCCCAAAGCATCAATACTAAATATAGACGTTAGATATATTTCTTGTTTGATAAATATACGTTTCTAGTGGAATCAAAACTAAATATTACAAATATTGATTTCAAAATTAATAATTAAATTTTTCTTTCATTTGTATCAAATATTACAATTAATACACTAAAAACATGCTTTACAAGATCTATTACATCAGTAGTAGATGGATAAAATGATAGACGATATTTGATCTAAAGAATTCCATTAACGTCAAGGTCTTAACATTTATACAAAACTTCAATCAAAGATCACATCTTATACTAATAAAATAGTTTTGACGAAAAAAAAAAGTATAAATTTTATAATCTATTTCAAATACTATTATCAATAAAAAATGGGTTTTTGAACATTTTTAACAGTTATCTAAATTTATGATTTTAAAATAATATAAAATTCTATTTAAGAAGCTCTAAAAAACTGAACAAGACAATAAGATTTCTTTGGTAATTGATAGCATCGATGATATATCTGGTAGAGATAACTAAATAATCTCATATGGTGACAGATCAAATAATTCGTGATATATAGATATATATTCTTTTTTTTTAAAGTAAAAATATTTGATGAAATACTTAGAGAAAAGAAACGTTTAGGATATGTTTTTTTTAAAAACAACTCCTATTTTCGAAGGAAAAATTCATCGGAAAGAGACCGGCTAAATGTTTCTCTTTAAATCACAACTTACCGGGTATTTTGTGTTGAGTTAAGTCCAAAGCAACAAGTCACATTACGTAATGAACTACGAAAGCATCGATCAAATATAGAAAACATTTTGAGTATGTAATTTGTTCTTAAGATCATCAATATTAAGTTTCTTCATAAGAATTTTAAGATAAAATAAACTAAATCCCATAGCACTTCCACAGTACTGTCATGTGTCTCACATTCTTTACGTGTGTATATATGTTGTCAATGTATGTGGCTGTTATGAAGGCTAGAAAAAAAAAGGAGAAAAAAATAGATATTAGTCAACCTGGCAACGTCATAATTAGATAAAAAGCAAAAGGGATTTAACGGCACATCAACTGTGCTAAGGAAAACAATGATGATGATTTATGTATTCAGTTATCTATCGAAATAGAATAGACTTCGAACAATATTATATTGAAGAAGATTAACTATAATCATAACAATAAACTTTATATATATATCTATATATATGTAACAATTAGTCATATACAGTTAATATGATGTATGGATTTTTAATCCGAATATTAAATCTCCTATTCGAACGATAGATGACGTTAGTTGGTAGTTCAAAAAATGTGGAAGCAAAAAATGTGATTATAAATAAACCAATGGAAATCTAATGTCAATTGCCCGACATATGTTTATTTATGTGTTCGTTCATTCGTATGTCCGTTGAATATAGTATAGAGTTTACATTGCTTATTGATTTTCATTGTTTTTTCTTGTTTTAGAATGAGCCTATAGTTGTAAATAAAAAAATGTTCAATTTGAATGGATTTTACATAATAGAAAATTTTTTCTTTCAATACAATCTCAACAAAAAATGATTCTTCTAAACGCTCAGATTATTGTTTATTTTTTTCTTATCTTTCAATTTATAATCTTATCCGCTATTAATTCGACAACAATTCATGAATTAAATGAAGCTATCTTTCTCGATCCACGTACACATTCAGCATTAATACGATGTCCATTAGATTTTACGCATAGTTCAGATATACAATGGTATGATGTAGCCAATCATCGTTATGAATCCGATCGTGGACGTTATTATCGTATTAATGGTACACAACCATTTGATCGAGAATTTATTTGTTCAACTATATCAAAAATCGGAGTTGGAAGTAATGAAAAATATCGAATTAAAATTCGCACATATGGTAAGAACTAAATAATATTCTATAAAAAGGGATTTCTTTTCTTTAATTATCATCAAAATAAAATATAGACTTTTTATCATCGGTTTTAAGTATAAATGAAATAATTATCTGTCAACATGATAATGATGATTGACATACAATCGTATCTTAATAGAATGAGAAGGAAAAATAGATGTCATCGTTGATAGAAAATATTATATAGATATGTTAATTATTTGTGAATTTAGATCATCCATTGAATATTCGTCATGCTTTTGTTCGTAATATAACTAATACAAGTATAACTGTCGATTGGGAAGATGATAGTTATAATCGAAATGCTAATATAACTTATTATGAATTAGTATTAAAGTAAGAGTAAAATAAATAAAAGAGAATTTCTTGATATGTATTTTGATTCTATTAGATATAATAATACAATTCAATATCGAACATTAGTTAATGGAACATTATTAAGTTATACATTTCCATCATTATATCCAAATACTCTCTATTCTATTGATATATCAGCTGTTGATGTATGGAAACGTTATAGTGGTAGTATAACAATAAATAGTACAACATTATCAATGAATTCAAATGAAAATAAAAATTATCAATTTATTGACCGGCATATAATTGAACAATCCGTAATATGTTATCGTCTTGATACACAATTATTATTAGTTGAATTTAATCGATCACAATTATTATCATCCAATTATATATATAATATAACAATATATGATTATCAAGATCATGTTGCATTAACAGATAATCATTATGAACAAGAATTTTCTTCAATGAAATCATTAACTTCATTTATCTATCGTTTAAAACGTAAAAGTTTAACATTTAAAATCAAATTTATCTTTTCAACAAATCAAATGGAATATGTTGAAACAATTGTAAAATATTGTGATGATTTTCATCCAATGTATTCACCATTAACTTGTTCAATTAAATCAACAGGACCTAATAATCATCATTTAATGATACATATGCAATTATATAATAGTGAAAAACAAATATATTCACTTAAACCAACTAATGTTTTTTATCGAACAAGTCGAACACATTTTATTAAAAAAAATATTTATGATATACATAAAGTACGTTGTTTTAAATTTCAATCTGATTATCATCTTAAAATCGGAGGTTTCTACTCGATCTGTCCACTAGTGGGAGGAGGGTTTTTTTCAGAAAAAGTAATCTAGCATTACAACAGCGTAGCTGATTTTTTTGTTTACGCTTAAGAACGTCGTTCTAAACACATCTTCTTCTTCTTCTTGTGCATATTCATTACTGAATGTTTGCGACCAGTTTTCTAAAAGCATTTCTGTCTTAGGCACTGTGCAATAGTTTTTCAGTCGATGTATTGGTCCATTGAGAGATGTTCTTCAGCCATGATGTTGCTCTGCGGCCAGGTTCCGAAACACATATCACTATCAAATTCATGTAAACAACTTTTTAATAACCGAGAACTAGACATTAGAAAATCTAATTCCGTCACGAAACATTTTCAACGGTGTGATGTCATATTTCAGTATTTCTTAAGCATCCTCTTTTCTGATTCCGTCATGGCATGTAACTGCTAGCGTGGAACACGAATAAGAGAAGCAAACTTGACATAGCTTATGGCACATGTAGAGCAACTAAGACTACGCTCTATGTTAGAATTTCAGCCTCACTGATATAGAGAGTGAACACGGGGGGAAAATCTGATTCCGTTACGGTTAGACAGGTCGTACTATAATATTAATGATTTGTTATTATTTCGGATTTATGTCTAATCAGGAAGGAAATCTATAAAATATTTCTTATGAATCATTTGGTTAGAAATACTTCATATCCGGATCTATTTCTGTGCAAAAAGAAAAAGACTCACAAATATTTTATGATAAGTCATAGATAGTATAGAATGTGTTTAGATAACATGAATAGTTTGAGTAGTCATACAAAAATTATCAATAATTACTTTATAAACAAGATTATAAATAGTTGAAAGTAAGACTAAATATAAATTGATGTAAACGAAGACACATGGTTCATCATAAGAAGATACTTAATAGTCATTCTTTCTTCTAAAATATAATGCACAAACAATAACAAATCATTAGCCTCATATATGTATGTATGTAATAACTAGAACAAATAGCCGCATTCCTTTCGCATATGGTTTTAACTATATAAAAGAATAATTCGATTTTGATATTCTCGTTATTCTTATAATTAAAAATCTTTTTTGTAAATTCTGTTCAAAGTATTATAAACAGAAACTAGATTATTCTCGTCTATTAATAAGATGAAAAAATAATTAATATTTTGTTTTATCTAATCTGCTTATTCATAATTAAATAATCGTCTGACATGAATAAATCTAATCGTCTAACATTTTTTCCCATGCAAAAGACGAGTTTCGATTTTGACAATCATTCATAATATACATTCAAGCAAATCCTTCGGACTTCTTATTAATATATGTTCTTTTGATTTTGTAGTATGTTAGTGCAAATGTTATTGATGTAAAAGATAATTATTCCGTTGTTGTTGAAAATAATATTATTGATAATAATTCAAATGAAAAAATCAATGTATCCATATTATGTCCAATTACTCGAATAGGTTTGATATTATTTGAATGTTCTTTTGTCTTCTTATAAACTTCTTATTTATTTTAGCTCCTAGTCCTCGTATACATGTTAAACGAGAAAATCGTATATTAGGTGGAATTATTGCTGGACTTATTCTATCAATAATAAGTCTTACTGCATTAGCAGTTTTTATTGCCTATCGAAAGTAAGAATATATATAAAATAGAAAAAAAAACAAGTTTTATATTAAAATGAATTTAATAGGGGATTAATGCCAGATTGTCGTCGAATGATACTTCGTTATGTATATTTAATACGTAAAAAGCATCATCCAAGATCAAATCTTGTTCAAATAAATGGTTCCATAGAAGGAAATGTTAGTAATGGAAATAGTGTGAATTATTTTGATGCAAATTATAGTATGTTAAACTTCGTTTTTGTTTTTTTTATTTGTAAATCGAATTTTCTGTAGAAGAATTTGATTCAACATCAATTGCAATCAATCAATTTGCTAATTATGTAGCAAGAATGCATAAAGATGGCGATTTTGGTTTTGTTCGTTTATTTGAAGTTTGTATTTCATTGAGAGATTTAAGATTTATTAAAAAAAATTTCTTTTAGGATATTTGTGAAGTATCAAAAAATTATACATTTCCAGCTGATGTTTCTCAAATTGATTATAATAAACCAAAAAATCGTTATACAAATATTTTAACATGTAAATAACAAAAAATATAGAGAAAACAAAAATGACTTTATTATTAATTTAGATGATCATTCACGTGTGAAATTATCAAGTGAAGATAGAGATGGCCGAGGGAATTATATAAATGCAAACTATGTTGATGTAAAATCGAATAGATTTACGAAAAGATTTATATATTGAAAATTTCTTTATTTAGGGTCATCAAAAAGCAAATGCTTATATTGCAACACAAGGACCAATGCCAAATACAATAAATGATTTTTGGTAATTGATAGAACTTTAGAAAAAAAATGTAATTCATTGATTTTTCAATTTTTAATAGGAGAATGATATGGGAAAAAGATGTAAATGTGTTAGTAATGATTACGAATATAAAAGAACGTGGACGAGTAAGAAATGTTATGATTTGAGGAATAATTTTCATATTTGTTTTTTTTTGTTAAGGTGAAATGTGATTTATATTGGCCACAAGAAGGTAGTGAAACTTATGGTACTATTCAAGTAACATTAGTCAGTACAATTTCGTTTGCTTATTACGTTAAAAGAATATTTTCAATTCGATGTAAAGCTAATCGAAAGGTATGTAAAGAATTATTCATGCTTAAGATTTTCGGTATATGTAGTATACAGAAAATGAGTATCTATTTACCTGAGAAGAAATTTTGGTCAGGATCAAAGGTGATCGGATAAAACGTCATGTAGGCAAAGCGTCGCAGGCGTATGGCTCAGTGAGGGTGCATCGAATATCTACATCCCACGTACATACACTGCCTAACATCAAAGATTTACGAACAATTCGTTTTGAACCCTAAAATGAGCTGCGACGTATTGTTCATGCAACACTAGGGGTAGGACGGTATGGGGGCTAGTGAGCGAAAGGCTTTTCAGCGAAAATTTTTAGCGAAATAAAAAGAGCGAAAGGCAATTCAGCGATATGATTTTTCTCGATGAGGGTATGGACGAAAAGTGTGGGTGAATGCAAAAGGTGTTTCGCAGTTGTGACTTTCGCGCATTTTTTTCGCTGAAAACCCCGTTCGCTGACATGTTTTTCGCTCAACGGACACCATATCCCCTGAGCCAAATGAATTTTATTGAGTTTCGATTAACAAATCTATTTGATCCGAGTAAAACTTAGCTCTTCATCACATAACATTTGCGATAGAAATGAAATATAAGTAAAAATTGTCTATACTTTCTCAGCGTATTCTAAATATAATTATTATTTAGCGTATAACGTACGAACGTCTTGTTCATCAATTTCATTATACTGATTGGCCTGATCATGGTGTTCCATTATTTACATTACCAGTTCTCTCATTTATTCGTCATTCATCAGCATGTAATCCTGAAACAGGTGGACCTATTGTTGTTCATTGTTCTGCAGGTGTTGGTCGTACAGGAACTTATATTGTTGTTGATACGATGTTAAAAAAAATTCGTGAACAACATTCATTAAATATTCCTTCATTTTTAAAACATATCCGTCAACAACGAAATTTTCTTGTTCAAACGGAAGAACAATTTATATTTATTTATGATGTTTTACTTGAAGCAATTCAATTATTAAATATTGGTTATAATGAATTAGAATTAAATGATCAAAATTTTGATTATATTATACAAATGTTAGATTATTTCGATAAAGATTCAAATCTAACACGTTTAGATAAACAATTTCAATTAGTTGTTTTACAAAATAAAACAAATGATTATCAATTATCATTTGGACAAATGGAAGAAAATCTAGGAAAAAATCGAACACAAGCAATTGTACCATTTAATCCATGTAGAGTCATACTAGCGGCAGATAGAAAACAACAACCAGGTGGAGAATATATTAATGCATCGTATATGCATGTAAGTATTTAATAAATTACATTGAGTGAATAAATAGTTTTCTTTGAGTTCAGTTTAAACGAGAGACTTCAATATTTCGTTTCATCTATGATAGATGTTTTTTATTTCTTTAGGGTTGCCATCGTGTCGATGAATTTATAATTACTCAACATCCTATGATGAATACTATCACTGATTTTTGGCAAATGATATGGAGTACAAATACCAGTATCATTGTTTCATTATATGCGGATGAAAAATCTCAAGTAGAAATTTCGATTTATTATAATTAAATTTTAAAGAATTCTTTTTTTTTCAGCCGGATGTACCGGATTTTTGGCCATTACCAAGTCAATTAATGGATTGTGGAAGTTTTAGTGTATGTTTAATAGATGAACGTTTTGAATGTGAATATATATATCGAGATTTTTTACTTCAATCAACTGAGGTAAGAAATACAAATCTACAAAAGAAAATCATCCATTGTTTTTCTTTCTAAAGGAGGATTATGAATTACGAGTGAAAATTGTCTCAAGTACTTATTGGCCAGATGCATGTTCACCTCTTAAAGCATCATTTAATCTTATAAATACAATAAGAAAATTACGTATGAATACTAAATCTAGTGGTTCAATTGTTGTTCATGATCTTTTTGGTGGCCATCGAGCTGGTTAGAATGATTTTCTTCGATTAATAATATTTGTAAAATCCTTTTTTGTTTTGTTTTTCAGCAACATTTTGTGCTTTATATACAATAAGTGAACAAATAGAAATTGAGGGTACATTAAATATCTACGAATTAGCTAAACTTTATCATATTAAACGTCCTGGTATATGGCGACATAATGTAAGAAAAAAAGTCTTAAAAATAATATAAGAATATCCTTTTATTCTTTTCAGGGAGATCTATTCTATTTATATCGTTGTGCTGAAGTTCTTTTTCGTGAAATAAAATTACCCACAACATATAATCAAAATCAAACATCGAGTTATCATCGTCGTTATTTACCACATCAATATAATACATCTTCCCAACCATTAGATGAACCTATTCCAATTACATCGTATACATCAACATCTATACAACCAGTAGCTAATTCATCAACATCATCATCATCAGCTTTTGCGAATGTTGCTCAAACTGTTATGGATTCATTTTCTAAACGACGTCAAAAATCACGTAGTTATCGATCGCAAACATTAAAAAAAATACTTTTTCTAAATAATGAATCGCCACTCTGAAAAAAATAGTTGCTCAACATCTGATAGGAAATGTTTTCTTTTTTCTCTCCGTTGTATATATATTTTTCATGTAATTAGAATAGACGTTTGTTGTTTCTTTTTTCTTTTTTTGTTTAAACAGTGTGTGCATTATTTGTCATATTCGTTGTTATTTTAGTGCTATGATATAATAATTTTATTGTTTGATTGGTCTTGTTTCTTTTTTATTGTGTCAGATATATATATATTATTGCTAGAGGGTTTTGTTCAATATGTTGTAATATGTTTAATATTTTTTCTTTCTTTTCTTTTGACGTTGTATGTCAGTAATTAATAAAGGAACCTTATATGGAATTACTTATTGTAGACAAAATTAAATGAGAGAAAGCAATTTAATTTTAGGTTTCTAGTTGAATAAATCTCAAAACATTCCAGACATATATAATTAGTAAAACAAGGCGTTGTATGCTTGACATAAACTGTAGAACAATATAATCTAGGGATCTGTTTATTAAGTATTGCAGAAGTTATCTGCAAGATTAATATTATATACATATGACAGATGAACCGATTGTTTGTAAAAGAAAGAAAGTCTATATTATTTATCTTGCAAAAATAACGATAGACATTTCTGTGAGAAAATGAATGAAAACAAAAGAAAAAATTCTGAACACTCAGTTCACTTTCAAATTCATCGTCTAATTATAAGTGATTTTGAATGGCACTTAAAAGTGCTCATCTATTGAAGAGTTTATCCTGTTCTTCTTTCTTTATACGAGACATTGTATATTATTCAGGTAAAAAAAATAAATGAAATGATTTTGATTGGAAGTTCTATGTAGTTATAATCATGACAGCTCTTCAGATCGTTTGACAGTTATAAGTAAAAAAACGAATATTTATTTCTTGGACTATTGAATTCATAAGAATAAGAAAAGATTGCATATTTTTTCTAATCTTTAAACAGACATTAAACTGTTACAATACTTAATGAATCATAGTTTTAATAAGCGTATATTTTTTCGTATAGATATTTAATCTAAAAATCGGCAGTAATTTCCAAACTGGAAGAAAACTTTGTGTTCGTTATGCACTTGTTGCCATCAAAAACAATAATTATAAAAACTACTGTATGACTCAAGAGAAAGCCTTGCCTATTGATACTATGGTACACGTCTCATTAAAAAGTTTTCTTCCTTTTCATTAAAAACCGAAACAAATATTTTATGTGAAGATAATTATGTTATAATCGAAACTAAAATAACATGCCCTATTCATTTACATGCATATCTATTATAACAACCATAAATAAAAAAAAAGTGATGACATAAGTCTCCTTGCAAAATCTATAAATATTTATTGATACATACTTTATCTATTTAGGTTCAAATACAATCATATGTAATATGTTTTTCATTAGAAAAAGTTCTATTCTCATATATGTACGACATCTATAATAATTTTAATAAATTATAAATTTTCAAATATCTCGTATAAAATATTTCTTAAATCTCGATTCATTTTTATTCTTAATGATTTTTTTAAAATTTTTTTCATATCATATATTATCCATCAAATATCATCAAAAAATGTCCACCTGTATATTTTTTTTCTTTCTAAAAAAAACACGCACACATGCTTTACCTTTTCTCTCTAGAGTAATTCTTCTGCTTATTCCGTCCGCAATCAATCATATAAATTTGACTCATTTCTTATTATTATCAATAATTACTATCTGAAATATATTTTTTTCATTAGTAATTCTACGCAAATTTTAAACGACAGGTAGATAAATACGTAAATTTTGTTTTGTTTTCTATAAAAATAAAATTTCGCCTCATATAAACTAGTTTTTTTCAATCAATGACGTCAACTGAAGACGATGATCCGTATGCTCAAATAGCTAGATTACATTCAGCAAATTTACAAGCTGCTGAATATGGTTTAGCATTGATAGATGAAAAAAAAAATTTAGAAATACAACATATTGAATTAGAAAATCAACATGAATTACTTAAATTAGAATGTGAACAATTAAAAAGTCAACTGAAAACAATACAAGCAAATAAACGTGAAGAAACATTAAAAGGTGAAACAAATGAAGAAACACTTTTACATGAACAACAAACACGTGAAGAATATTTAATGAAAGAAATAACTCGTCATGAACATGAATTACGTTCATTGAAACATGATAATGAACGTTTATTTACGGAAAATGAAAAAATTTCATTAAATTGTCAAGAATTAACTGAACGTATTCATGAATTAGATGAATTAAAAGTTAAATTAAAATATGAATTAAAAGAAACTAAAGCACAAGAACAAAGACTTATTGATGCAAATACTGAATTAGAAGAAGATAATGTTGCTTTACAACAACAAGTACAAAAATTACGAGAAAATCTTATTGATTTCGACGGATTAAAACATGAAAATAAACAATTGCAAGAAAATGTAAGTTAGGAATAATCAATGTTCATTAATCTTGTTAACAGCTAATCATATTTCATATCAGTGATAAATAAAAAGATAAGGTTGCGATATATAGGAAAATATGTATCGCAGACATATAACGACTATTGACATTTAAGTTGTTTGTCTTAATCGATCAAAGCTTTTCAATATGAATATAGAATAAATGAAAGAGATTGTCATAGTTAATGAAAATTGATTGTCTGAAGTTCTTTTTTTTCTTCTTCTGTATACAAAATAAACAATCGTTTTTTATTGATTCCAATAAGAAATAATTTAGTAATTTGAGACGTCAATGAATTAATTTGATTATGTCTTGCTATTTATTTACATATACATATCATCATATACTATAGATGAACTAGAGTATTATCAATTTACAGCAAGTCATAAAGATAATTCATGTAATAAGTTACTAATTGGGTTGTAATATGTACCAGATATCTTTCATTAGTTGAGAATGAGCTTCTACAGCTAAAATTATTTAGTTAGTTTGTATATTTACGATATTATTATATTAATCTAAGCTTCAAAATAAAATTACAAGTGGTATAAGTAGCGATAGAAGTATTGTAAGCTATCAATACTCGTTCATTAAAAGTGACGTACAGACAGGATATTTCTTCTGTCTTCTATTTACCGGATATATAGGAAAGACGAGATTTCCTTTTTTGAAATTTATGTTTGTCTACTCGAAACTAAATGATATTTAACACCTGCTTCACATTTGTCATTCGGATGTTTACCTATGTCTCTCCTGTAGTGTAAAATTAGTACTAAAGATAACATAATCAACGAAATATATTGTCAATAGTACAGTACGAAATATACTTTATGACTAAGTTGTCTGTGTAAAGTTCATGTTGAAATGATACTGAAAAAAAATTATACATAAGATGCTAAAAAGTGACCTCGATCAATCGCTTCATCACAATATTTCCAATATAGAAGTTATAACACTTCATTATACAATAGAATTGATTTTTTTCTATACTTGACAAAAAAATGAAATCGATACTACTTGTCTTACAAAATTCTTTTAAAAAATCAACCTTGTATATAAGTACTCTTTATCATAATAGATTTAGTATTTTAATACATTGAAATAATCTTTCAAAAGTTATATCGATGTAAAACAGTGTCTCAGCTAGAAACTAACAAACAAATATAGGATCTTAAATTTTCTAAAAAACATAATATTTGATAATCATTTATTTTTTTCTATGTTCATAGATTGATGATTTAAATCGTTCGATGAAAGAACTTGAATCTCTAAAAGCTATTGCAGAATCTCAATTAATTGAATTACATAATAATCTTCGTGATGAACGTGAACAAAAACATATATATAAACAACAATTAGATCATCGAATTCAACAAGTATTTTATTTTGATTATTTCAAATTTCAATTTTTTTACATTTTGTATTGTGTGCATAGGAATCTCGTCGAAATTTAGATACATTACGTATGACATTAAATGGTCATAGTGGTACACATACAGATGATGATTATATAATTGAGGGTGATGAAGATGATATTGAAGATGATGATACAAGTCGTGTACCATCATCAACTGAATACAGTGATATGCTTGAGAATGATCAACAAGAACAACAACCTGTTGGAAATTTATTCAGGTAAAAAATATAAGATTTATAATGTAAATATATTGAATATTTTTTGTTTTAGTGAAATTCATGGTAATGAAATTCGTAAACTTGAACTTGAATGTATTCAAATATCTCAAACGAAATCATCACTTGATAATCAATTATTAATAATCAATGAAAAAACAAAGATTCTTTCACATAAAGTTCAACATCTTATAGATATTATTTTACCAAATAAACCGAATTCATCGGAATCAAATTCTGATGATACGAATAATTTATTAATAATAGCATTAGATTCTATTGAACAAATCGATTCAATTATTAATAAAAACCTTCATTTATTTAATGGTGATCAAGATTTATTGAAAAAGAAATCAGATGAACAAGAACATTTCATTATTAAATTAAAACAAGATAATAATACTTTAATGAAACAATGTAATGATTCACAGACATTATTCAATAAAAATTTTGATTATTTAGTAAGAAGAGAAAATTTCTTTGTGTTTTTTTCTAGAAATTTTTTCGTGTTTTGTTATTATTTAGATGCATTTAAGTGAAGAATTTGGTACAATTAATAAATATATCTATAATTCAATTGGTTTATCTGTACCAACAAATGATTTTGAAACAAGAAAACAACAATTATTAAATTCAAATAATAAAATTATAGATCCATCAATAAATCAACAAATCTTAGATATTCTACAAGAACAAGTTAAACAATTTCGACAATCATTTGATCATGTTTTAACTAATGTTAAACAACAACCAAAGGAACAATTATCAACTAGTGAAACAGCAATTTCACCAAATGAATTACCTAATGATACAAAAGAATTACAAGATCAAGTAAGCATACTTCTCTAAGAATTAATATCGAAGATGATGTGACAAATTCTACTAAGATCTATCTAGGAATTAGAAATTAATTATCAAAAGCGTTGCAAGATATCATTGTAGAGATTTATTTCATTTTAAAGTTTGACTCAGCCACTTATTTATAGAAGTACACTGTGATTCTTATAATACCAAGAATTACCAGTTTCTATTTACAACCTCTCGAAAACGAGATGAGTAACACCCGAGTATTTTTATTATACGGAATAGAGCATCTGGAAATGCGTGACCCTCAAAAAAAATATGCCGTCATGAGTTTACAGCAGACATGCACGTAGAAATGTTTTCCGGGAGCGGGAGAGTTTACCGTGTAAAAAAAACTGTTTTTCGGCTTACAACATTTGACAAATCCGTACTCCCCTCCAAGTATTTGTATTTTCCGGGAAGATCGCTCCTCTCAATCTTTCTTCTGGGTTCGATATATTCTGACTATTCGACCCGCATTACTTATCATATATTCAGACTGATTCTAATCTCTATAAAATGTTTTCCAGCCTATCTGAAGCTCAGACACTATACAAAAGTTACTTAATTATATTCCCTACTGTTATTTCTCTTTTGACATATTACTAACATCCGCGTTCTATTCATGTCAATATGATAAAAGATCTATTCTAAGATTAGACATCATTTTCTTCTTCTTTTTGTTTAGATTATCAAATTACGTTCATTATTAACAACTAAACGTGAACAAATTGGTACATTACGTACTGTTCTTAAAGCCAATAAACAAACAGCTGAAGTTGCATTGGCTAATTTGAAATCTAAATATGAAAATGAAAAATTAATTGTTACAGAAACAATGTCGAAATTACGTAATGAATTAAAATCATTAAAAGAAGATGCAGCTACATTTGCTTCATTACGTGCTATGTTTGCTGCACGTTGTGATGAATATGTAACACAATTGGATGAACTTCAACGACAAGTTCATGCTGCTGAAGAAGAAAAGAAAACTCTTAATTCATTACTTCGTATGGCTATTGAACAAAAACTTGCATTAACACAAAAGCTCGAAGATTTAGAAATGGACAATGAACGAGTAACTACGACTGTTACAACTCCAAAACGAACTAATAATTTAAATGCAAATCTTCCATCTACAATAACAACAACACCTGTATCGGCAGGATCACCACTTGGATTATTAACAACAACTTCACATAATAATCATAATATGAATAATAATAACAGCAGTGCTAATAACAATAATAATAATAATAATAATAATAGTGCTAATCAGAATACTGGTAATAATGTACAAACACAAGAAATACGACGTGGAAGATTTATACCACCAAGAGTAAGTTCTAAGGATAATATAGTGTAAATACTTAAAATCAGGGTTGAATTAACTCCGACATGAATTTGTATCCAAATTTGAGTGTAAAAAAACAAGAAAAATTTCTTTTCTCAATATCTTAGTCTATACAATTATATCTTTTCGGAAAATAGGTTTGTATAACTCTTGAAATTCATATTGACTATATATATATATACATGTATATATTGGACTTGATTTATATCTTATGCATGTTTCAGATGATGCAAGCACTTGCGTCAAACAGAAATCAACAACTACAAAACAAACGATAGAGAGATATTCAGTACGAAAAATAAATAAAAAAAAACTGATGCTCATTACCTTTTATTTTTTTTTTCTAATCTTGCTTGAATAAGTTATTAATTAACATTGATTAAAATGCATCCATAATAAATGACGCATGATTTGCTTTTTTTTGCCTTCGAATGATAATAGACAAAAAAAACATATTGCACTTAGATCAAAAAAAAACTTTCCTATTGCATGAAAACAATTGTCTTATACATATATTTTTTGCGTGTGCGTGTGATATTTCGAAGTAAAAAATTTCGAATTGGAATATAAATATATTTTATTTTTTAGGTTCGTCAACATAAAGCATTTACAACTACGAATTCACAAGCACCTCCATCATCAAAATGGGGTCATTAGAATGTATTTTAACTCTTCTCTTCTCTTCTTCTTTTTTTGTAAATCAAAAAAAACATGTGTGCTTTATTCCTTGTTTGTTTTTTCGTGATACATTTTGTTTAATATATGTGTACATGCTTTGCACTGCTCATCCTTGATCATTCCGCTATTGGATCTTATGTTTTTCTTTTCTTTTTTGTTTTGTTTTTTTCTTCTTTTACCTTTGGATAGTTGCTTTGCTAGTAGTTGTTCATTTTCGGTTTCTCACATTCCATCAATTTCATACATTTCGTTTTGTTGAAATATGAAGATCTGATTTTTTTTAGTTTGGTTTTGCGTCTTGAAAAGCATGTTTAATGGAGATTTGAAATGTTATTTGTTTTTTTTCAAAAAAACTATTTGCGCATTTGTATGAGATTGCTTCTTTTTCTTTTCTTGTTTTGTTTCTATTGTTAAATACGTATCTTGCATATATATTTTAGTATGAAAAAGCAAAAAAGAGACATAATGTTAAGCGCATGTACGATGTTTGGATTTTTTTTCCTTTTAACTTTTGTTCATTTTTTTTCTTTCCATGGCGGTTTTGTTTTTTAAATACATGCATTTGGAGAATATAAATTGATTTCGTTTTCTTGACTATTAAATGATTATTTGGTGTTGTCAAGAAATCCGGAAAATTTTTACTTGAAGTTTATTAATCATGGAAGACACAACAAGTAAAAGGTGCGGACATATCAGACAGAATCTGATACGCTTATTTCTTCGAAGCTACTAGTAGTGAGAGTCCACCGAGAAGCTCGGCACGATCGATGTCATCGTTGTAGCAGCAGGCGTTCAGCGTGTGGGCATGATGTGGGTGAGGGCGCGGGTATGAATGTGGATGCATGGATGTGAGTAGGTGGCTGAAGTTAGTGTACGTGTGAATATATAGGTATGAACTACTTTTCTTCTACACTACCCAAGCAGATAAAAAATTGAAAAAACGCGTTTAAGCGCTCAGTCGGTAACCGCAATTGTAATCCATTCACGCTTAATATTAAAACGCCATAAACGGCGTTTTGGATGTAAAATTACCACCTTTATAACGTTAAAACCGTGAAAAACTCATATTTTTAACGTCAAAACGTGCATTTATTCTAGAGTTTAAAATCCATGCGTTTAAGCGTTAAAAATATGAGTTTTTCACCGTTTTAACGTTATAAAGGTGGTGATTTTACATTCAAAACGCCGTTTATGGCGTTTTATTATTAAGCGTGAATGGATTACAATCGCGGTTACCGACTGAGCGTTTAAACGCGTTTTTTCAATTTTTTGTCTGCTTGGGTAACACTCACACCCACACCACAAAACCTTTCGAAGTGGCTTATTTCTTTTCCGAATTTTTATTTTCCGGATTTTTCCTTCTCCGGACTACTAGACATATTCGGTTATTCAAAGGCTTAGAAATTGAAACATATTGATGAATATATTTCGTTATATGGATAATACGACATTTATAGTACTTTATATTTTTTTATGTGAATATTTTGTTAACAAATGAATTCTCACATCTGACGCTATGTTAGATTTCAAATTTGAAGAAACAAAAACATTAGAAGCTAACGAACTTTTTTTTTCTTTTTTTATATGATATGCTCTTCGTTCCAAACAATTAAAATATACATTTCTATAGCTTATATTCATTGGATCGTTTAAATTGATTAATATACTAGACTAGGAAACTTCATATTCAAACCATCAACATATTCCTATAATGTATTTACATGTGCATGCACATGTAATTGATATCTGTTAGTAATATATTATGACGACAATCGTTTATTGATGTCGATATTGTTGTTTGCATGATTATGTACTTCTAATTGATTAAAAGCATCAATAGAAAGCAATTATACAATAATAAAAAGAAAGAAAATCATTCAATTTTAGTTTGTTATACATATGTGATTTCGTGTTTTTTTTCTTGTGTTAATAAACATCAACTTATATATAATTATCAATCTATCTAAATTGTAGTAGCTTTTCTGCCATTCACAGCATGTATATATATATATAAGCTGTGGAGATAAGGATCAACAATCTATGAGAAAAAAAATTTAATCAAGCGATGATGGAAAATTGAAAAGCAAATGGCGCCCTATGCGAGTGGACAACTGCTATATATGGTGCCATTCATATTCGTTATCGGGATTAGAACGACGCTTGATTGACTTCATCATCGTCTATCCACTTGTGTATATTCTTTTGTTTCAAATTTCGTGCACACGACGACAGATGGTCATTCGTACATATACTCCTATTTCCTGTCATTCTTTCTCTTTCTCTTTATCACACTCTCTTCACTGTTCATTTAACAAATTCACTATCATATGCACACATTAAAGATTGAAATCGACTTCCTCTATTTTTTGATTGATCATTGAGTTCACAAGACGCGTTGTTCTTCAAACGATGCTTTGTCGCGTGTCGCCACTCATCAATTGAACAAAAACATGCACATGACGGTCTCATGAATAACACTCTGATGAGGGAAACTATACCAGCTGTTGTTCAATACATAGCTTGTGTTAATTGCCCCATGTCTCTGTCTTCAATCTGACGCACACTATCGGTTTTGAAGACGAAACATGTACATAGCGGTATATGTATATATATTAAATAAAAATGCACATATACAAAATGGATAGTCGAACAGAAGACACACCGGGATAACGCCTCAGGAGTTCTTAATACTGTTATCTCTTTCATTAACAATTCAACACTAGTAGGACAAAGAAAAAGAACGAACACGACAACATGACACTATATTATTGATATATGTATGAGACTTGTATTACTGATAGATGAAGAAGAGAGAGAAAAAAAAATACAAATACAGATGGCATCTTTTTTCTTTCTTTCCTTTTTTTTTCATTTTATTTTCTCTTTGGCAGATGTCGTAGAGAAGTCATATCGTGCTGAGCATTCATTAATGTCATTTGTCAACTCTCTCTTTTTCTTTTTTTCTATCCATTTTTCTCATTTTATCTTGCTCTCCTATTTCTGTTAATTGAACGACGCGTGCTCATTCCCTTCAGGATAGGAAAAAAAAAGCTTGATCGTCGACGTTGTCGTCTAACACGCACATTTCCTGGTGAACGAACTCTACAAGACGTAATATGAGTAAAAAAGAAGAAGAAGACGACGAAGAACAGACGATGTTAGTGGGAAAAATATATCATGGAGAGAAAAAATCTTACCAACGACGGCAATGGTTAGAAAAAAGAAGAAAAAGAAAAAGAAAAAGAAGAAACAACATCATCGACCAGAATCAGAAACATCGGAACGTTAGTAATGGTGGTAGACATAGAAGTACGGTTCGATCTGTACCAGCTTCTATTCTACCACCATTATCATGGTCGTCAACAAGTTTAATGTGCCATTTTAAAAGTGAACATTATTTAAATAAAAATTGTTTGGATAGTCAATGGAAATGGTCAAAATCAACTGAAATTAATTCAAAAGCAATTTTACTTGATAATAATAAACAAATATTATTTCATCCAAGAACAAGTTCATCAACAGAAGTTATACTTGCTGATCAACCATTACCATCAAATGGAAAACATTATTGGGAAATATATATGCCTGCTGTCTATGGAACATCAATTATATTTGGCATTGCAAGTAAGTGGATAAGAACTTGACATTTAGAATCATATATAACATTGATTGAATTGATTATTTTAGCTAATGAACAACAATTAATATCGTCATCATTTACAAATTTAATTGGAATTGATCAACATGGTTGGGGATTGTCACATCAGGGTTTATTATGGCATAATGGAATTTCACATCCGTATTTATCTCAACCTATAGAACCATTAAGGCCAGTTTTAATTGGTTTAGAATTTGATGCGGATGCAAGAACACTGTCATATACAATTGATAATCAATCTATGGGAATTGCTTTTCGTTCTATACCAACAAATGTCTTGATTTATCCAGCAGTATCATCAACGAGTGCACAAAGTACAATGATTCTAAAACATTGTTGTAAAATATGTACGTCTTTAAGTGAAATTTGTTTGAAATTAATTAAATCATCTGAGTTAAAAAATAAGATCAATTATCAATTGTTACCTCGTCATTTAATTGAACAATTGATTAAGTAAGAACAGTATATTATTGTTTCTGTATGTGTGTGTGTATGTATATCTGTCAATTATCGTCTAATTATGGAGAGGTTTTTTTTAGTCGTTTCTTTTTCTTTCTTTCTTTCGTCTTTTTTTTCTTCTTATGGCCGAGGTCGAGAATGTGCAATGCTTAAAGTATGTACAAAACTAGCATTGTAAATTGAATGTTCGTATTTCTTTTTCTTTTGACATTCCGTACGAACAGACTTTTTGTTGATGTTGTATTTGTTCATTCCATGATGATAAAACAAAATTGAAATCTGACTATCATTATTTTTTATTGATGTTGTTATTTGTCTATTATTATTTATTCAATGTTTTCTTTTCTTCAAAACGAGTGCCATCTAGTCAAATGAGATGTTCATGCACAACGTTCATTTCTGTACAAATTGTCTTGTGTTTGTTTTCTTCATTTTTTTGTTTCTGTCCGTATATATATATTAACGAGCCAAGGAAAAACAAAGATATTTAAATAAATATAAATTATCATTTTAATCATGAATAAAAAGAAATCAATGTTTTAATAATACATATGGAAAAATGATAAATCATTGTCAATATTTAGGTCAATTAGTAAATGAATACGTGAGAATTTTGCATGAGTAATAATGGATTATCTAATACAAGAGAGAAGAATTGTTTATGTATCGGTTGTTGCATTCTGCTTCAATAATCTATCATAATGATAATATAAACGATGGCATTGAAGAGAACAATATGTATGGACATGTTTAATTTTAAAGCTCTCATACAGATGATGTAAACTATTAATAACACTTCAGTATCACAAAATAATATGTGCTAGTAATTTTAAGACAAATATCTTGGATTTGTTATAGCAAGAAAACTATATCAATAGATAGAAATGTTTGGAGTTCATACTTTGCCCGTAAGCAATATGTAATACAGCTAAAATATCGATGAAAGCTTTTGGTGTCATAAGCCTAAGTTGGTTAAGATAGAAATTTTTTTATATTTGGAATGTGAAATATTTATACATTACGCATTTATCTGATTCACAAGACCAACTCATTTGTAAATACTAAAATAGATAGTTAATGCCAATAGTGCGTATATTTCAAATACTTTTTCATTCAGTTGTAAATAAAAGCCAATAGTTAGAATTCAATCATTGAAATATCTCATTTTTAAATCTCTACAATACCAGAATATTCAGATAATACAAAACTTTAGCTACTGTTATTAAGTGATTATATAGATGCAAATCTGGCATAATGAAAAAAATCGAATAATAAATATAAATCACATATTTAGAAAACGATCATGATCGAACTGCTTATTATTCTAAACGAAGTGTAGACTGCTATCAGATCGTTAGTTTTCTAATTTAAATAAAAATCTAGAATTAACTGAGTAGAGGAGTATATCTAAAATGTTAAACTTTTATACATTAGGATACAATGGCACATAATTCGCTTGTCTTACTTGCAGTAGAAAAATGCGAGTATTTGTTTCGTTCATTTAATACTGTCTGAAAATTTTGAATCACATACTTTTTTTTGTGTCAGTCAGTATGCTTTTAACTAGACAAGAGAATCTTTCATATAGTATGAAGAAGCAAAGAGTACAACAAAAATATTGTAAAAACTTGTAGTAGATTGACAATAACGTCATACGAAATATTTATTTACTTGTTATCGCATTCATGCTTATAACTGTCATACATAGTTTGAAAACATTGATGTATTATTATGACATTAATCAACATAGCCGCCTCTAGTAGTCTCTATAATATTATTCCATAATAATAAATTCGAATTTTCTAGAATATTTCATTTTATGTTGTAATTGAAAACAAAGATTTAATCAAGAAAAAAGAAACTTACTTTTATGAAGCATCTGTAACATTCATTAGTAACGAAATTAAGAACTGAGACTTTACTTGTTATCGTTTGTAAACAAATAATACATCACATTTCATACTTTTATCGAAAAATATGCATTTATTTGGAACTAAAAAGCATAGAATTGTAACGCCTGTCAAAGAATAAGATTGCCATTCATTAACATATTCTCGGAAATATAACTGCAAATAATTTGTTTAGTTCAAAATATGATATTACTAAAAAGTAGTCACCACCATCATTTTGGATGTATGATCTTATTAGTTTCAATAACTATAGTTATATTTACAACTTTTGTAATATTTCCTCTAATTGTTACATAGAAAAACGAACAAATGGAGATCCATGTAATACAAATGCAGATTATCATCATGATTTTGATTTAATTTGTTATAATAATCGTCACGGCTGTGCTTATTCATATTTTTCAAGGTCATCAGATTATATTTGCAAAACGAAGACGAATAATGAATCGGACATGGATTGATGATTCTATGTGATATATTGACAAATTTTCAATGTCAAAATATTTCACTTGCGTAAATAAAAATTCGGTTTATATCAAAAACCTTTTTTTTTCTTTTAATTTATCTTTAGGAATGGAAATATTGAAAATCAAGGTCAATGTAAAACTTCAATGCATTGGGATGAAATTTCTGTAAGTGCACTAAAATTTAGATGTCTCAAAGATTGTTACAAAGAAAAAAAATATTTCGGTAATCATTTTTAAAATAGATGTTTGCTACAATTTACATATTTATGAATAGAGGCTGAATTGAATTTGTCAGTTATCTGTTTAACTATAACTGTAGCATCTGAATATGTTTCTAGTTTACCTTTGAAGTAACAGCATAATTAAAAATCGAACGAAGCAAAGGTTGGATTTATTAGATCTTTGACAAGATCCATATTTTGTTGATTAATGAAAACGACGACACTATCGAGAATCATTTTCCAAATCCAATGACTAACTATACACTATGATACAAGATCTTATAGATTTGTATAGTAGTTAAACATAATTATTAAATCGGACAGGTCCTTCGGCACATAGGAATGTTTTAAACGATGCTACTACTTTATAAATTCAGTATTTATGTATCATTAGTTGATGCGTTGAGTCCACTATGTAAAATGGCAACTGAATGTTAATTATGACAACAATCAGTTTTTATTTTGTAAGTAGATAATAAATCTCTGTTGTTGTAATACATCAATATGTTGAAACAGTGATTACAGTTATTAATGTGATAATAGATATTCTGTTGATTAATATATTACATATATTCGATACTCAAATCCTTATGAAATTTTCTATATGGTAAGTTTGATATGATAAGAACATGAAATTCTACATTTTTTTCTATGTATATGTCGATGTACAACAAATGAATTTTATACTGATAGTGCTTTATTAGCTGATACATTTTGTAGGTTATCTTGAAAATTATTCAACTACTAGTCTCTGTAGTTCATCATAAAATCTTTAATGTGAATTATCATGCTATGGTGAAGCAAATATTTCTGGCATATGTCTATGTAATAGTTCTTAGTCTTAGTGGGATGGAGGAATATGTGCAAGTAAACTATCAGTTGATGGTCAATGTTCAAATAATACACATTGTATTGTATCATATGGTTATATTTTGTAGTAATTATTCACAAACAATGAATATATATGATTGTGATAAAGATTATTATTAGAATTATACATGCGTACCTAAACAATGATTCAATACAATTGTCCGATACAGATTATTGGGATATTAGTCAATGTCAACCTAAAAGAAATTACATCGATTCATGTAATATTACAGCTCAATGTTGATTTGACCCAACAATATCACATACACTAGTGTCTTTGTAATTTAACTTCATGCTGGAATGATTGTTTTACAAACACGTGTTATTTCGAAAAAAATTTTAAAAATCAATGCTTTTCTAGTGATATTCTTATTGGTTATAAATATATTTAGTGTCATCAAGCATATAAATTTATATCTGATTGATCAAGTAATGAATATAATCAAACAGCTAATCTATAATGTATAAATGACAGGATTTACATATACGTGTCGATATGCATGGAAGGTTTTCTAAATAAATTTGCTGTATGAAAATATTTATCCCATAATTCTACTAATTTGCAGTGATAGAAAGACACATTATTGTCGCAATAAAAGTATATTATCATAGAGAGTTAATGCGAGTGATGTATGAAATAGTTCAAACTGCAATACAGAGATATGCACAGGTGGATTTTGTTGCTGTCGTAATAACTCAATTTGGAATGCGTCATTTCTTTTGTAGGCCACAATATCCACTGGATGAAAAGAACATAACAATAATTTTTCGAATTGACATTTATTTCTCTTCTATTTTAAGAGTCTCACTGTTTTTTATGGTTAATAAACTTGAATTGAAGGACATTTACATGTTCGTATTATATAGACATACTGAATTAAACTAGATTTATGTGAGAGATACGAAAAATATATTTGTCATTCAATTTGTATCAATATAAAAAACGACATTACAATAATTCTTATCTAGTAAACATAAAAATCTTTTTTCTATGTGCGTAAAACCATATTCAGTATTGCTCTACTTATTAATCCCGAATACAGAATAACTATAGTCAAGATTAAAGATATTTAAAAGATTCAAAAATATAATATCAAATAAAAGGGAATATGAGAATCAAATCATGTATTAGTCAATACTTGTCTTTCTCAGTCTAAAAATCGTTTATTATTACTAAACATACTATTCTTAAGATTAATCGTGTCGAAAGTAATATTTTAGTCAAATCTGATAATTTTCCGTAGATATCCACATGAGATTTTTGTAGCTTATTCATAGAGCATTCAATAAATAAAGCGTGTCCGAAAATTTCGATTCATTTCTTTGCTCGAATAGTTCTCGTCTACGTCGGATATAAATGATTTTAAGTTGGAAACGTGTGGGTGTGCCAAAAGTCACTTTACTGAAGAAAAAAATTGGATATACCCAATGTGGCATGACTAAACGAGCTGGTTTTTCTAATCAGTGATAGGTATATGTTTAAGGTTTATATCCATAAAGATATGCCTAGAGAAACCCTT